TCTTACCGCGTCATGAATAAAAACTTGATTATCCATTTTGCTTGTCAGCGCGAGTTGTTGTCTGTTTTTTTATTTTTTATAGTTGTTTTCGCCTCTCACCACGCATCATTTCCTGTAGCATGTTCATGATACATTAATGCATCACTAGATCATGAATTCTCATGAACTAACATGATTACATGTTGGTTCATGGATGACTTCATCCATGAATTATTGGTTGAACTACTGTAATGAATTTACATGAAAATCTTAAAGAATCAGCATCATGATGATACCATGAATTTACTGATAAAGCAATGAAATGACCAAAAAATCATCAACCTATCATGATCCTCATGATCATGCATGAACATCATGAGTCATATGGCGGAAATCTACTTGCACAATCATGAACTTATCATTAGCTAATGCTTAATACATCATGATTTCATTATGATTGTGTCCCCTCAACTAAAGTGAAGCAATGATTTATTGGTTGTTCCTTCAATTTATTTTACAAACTATCACACGCAGCATAACCAAATAAGACCTCCAGTGCTGCACATGAAGTAATACAAAGTTTCTTTGTTGACTAACAATCCCATATAAAATTTTGGTTGAGAAGTGCATGGACACATATTATATACAGCCTCCCCCTGTCTAGTCAGGACTAGACAGGGGGAGGCTGCTTTTCAGATTTATGCAGCTGGAGTCTGGAACGGTCTTCCTGAGGATGTGAGACTGGCTGCCTCTCTGTCAATGTTCAAATCCATGTTAAAGACTTTTCTTTTTTCCCGTGCATACAACTAGAGAATTTTATCTTTTTAACACACCTTGTTATTTATTGTTGTAACTTTTTGTGTTTTTAACTATTTTATTGTTTTAATTACTTGTGTGATTTTTATGTTTTTAAATTACTTATGTGATTTTAATGCTTTTTAATTACATATGTGTTTTTAATTGTATTTTAATGGTGATGATTTGTGCATTGTGTGGTGTGGACTGTGCAGGAAAAGCGCCCTATAAATAAAGATTGATTGATTGATTGATACAGTAGATGGCACTTTCGTAGACAGACTATGGTTTCAAATGTTACATAATACCCCTGTATTGGCCCAAAAACATTTAATTCCATGTGTAATAAATAACACCCAATCTCAACTCAAAAGTCAATAACATTTTATTATGAACAATAAAAAAAAAAAGTTTAACCTCTCAATAGTGGCCTTTTAGAGTCAACCAGCCCAATAACTTTGCCGTTGGCTCTTGAACATCTTCTTGAACATATGCATTAATTCATGCATTAGTTCATGAGAATCATGCATGAACTCATGTACCATTAATATAAAGTGTTACCGAGACTTCAATACGAAACCAAAAAGTGCTGAAACAATAAAAACATTGTTTATATTTGGACAAATGAATAATGTACTGGATATAACGGACTGCATCCTTACATACGAAAACAGACTTGTTTAATCAAAGTTAGCAATTGCTCAAAAATGACTATCCTTCTATTTCATGTTATTCTGTGAATAAACAGAGCTGCTTTAAAGTATATTCTCTGAGGGACAGGAAGCCGGACAGAGATCTGAGTAGGGGACTAAAGTACTTACCCCTAAATTATCTTTAAATAAAAAATTAATCTTTACAAAGAAGCAGAGATATTTATCTATTCGCTTTAGTAATAAGTTACATAAATGTTTTTCATTGGCACTTTGACCATAGCACCACAATCAAGTTGAAAATGTGCTTATTTAATTAAGAGTTACACTGAAGAAAAGGCGTTATCCTGTGTTTAGAAACAACAACATCCCAGTGGCCAACAAAAAGAGACCAAATTACCAGGGACAAAGAGTATAACCCTCATCAAAATAATAAAACAATATTTTAGCACAATCTACATAAAGTGGTCGGTGCTTATGCAGGTGTAACTGGAGTTTACGGTGCCTTGAACCGAGCATTGAAAAAATGGCTTATTACTGCGCTCTAATTCCTTTTACACTTGACATCTCAAAGCAAGACATTAAAATCATCCAAGGTATTAAAATCATTAAACAATAATAAAAAAGTGAAGATATACAATCTTTCAGTTTATGCACAGCTGAACAAAACTGTTTTCAATCTGAATTTGAATATTGTCAGAGTCATAGCCTGTCTCACATTTTCAGACCGATCTAGATTTTAGCTGCATAAATCTGAAATCCTGACTGCCCATGTTTAGCCCTGACTCTTGACACCAGAAGGAGGCCAGTCCCTGTGCTCCGTGCAGTGATAATGAAAAAGAAAAAAAGAAAAAAGAAATTTGGCAACTTAAAAGTTACTAGCTCTTTCAAACCCCGTTTCTCAGGTCTTTCTCCCAAATCTTCTGTCTAACCTCCCACCTCAACCATAACTTAGCCACATTGGGCAGGACAGGTCAGAGTTTTGTCCAATCAAAAAGATCCAGCATGCAGTCCATGTAAACTGCGTCATCCAAGTTGTCTTGTGAAATTTATTATAATATTTAATAGTCATGAACAGTGTTGGTCAGTACGTGATAAAAGTATGCTTTACTGTAATCCAAATTTTTTTTTTGAATAACAAGTAAAGTAAGGGATTACATCCGCAAAAAAAGTAATATGATAACTGACAAATGAATGACGTATGAGAGATACGACCGCTGCCATGTGATAAACCGTAAATATTCCAAACGACAACGTGAAACATGACAGCGAGGACGACCACGGAGCGTTTCATTCATGGAGATACCGCCGTTGCTTTGAGTACGAGGAGGCCGTGACTAAAGAATCAACGTACACTGTACACTGCGTGGGAAGATAAAAAGCGAACCCCGGTAAACGCCGAGCATACAATGAAATCAGGGGAGAACCATGGACTGTGCTGCTGGTGCTCAGGTCACGTTGAGCACATGAGGAGATTGCTTTGTTTTACCGGTGTCCGACGTCTTGATATTTTTTCATCAAACTCTTGTTTGTCCACTGTGGGATTACTAAAGGTATCATTAATTCATCACCTTTACTGATCAATCAATAAAATCCATTGAAAAGCAGAGGGTTATCCTTTTCAAGTTTATAGTTTTATTATCAAGCAATAGAGGGACAGATGTGCAATAAAATGCTACACTGATGACCCATGCGCATTCTTCAATCTGACAAACAGCCTCTGCCTCTGTTTAAAGCCCTATTTTGATGCTTGCACAGGGAGTAATTGAAGCAGTTCATTGACGATAATAAGTCTCAAGGTTACACTTGTGCGCTCACGTCCCAGCGTCAGGCAATGGACGGTTTGGCCGAATTGAATTAGCGCGTCTTTGTGGCGAGGAGGCTGCTCAGCCGGCGGCGAAGTGCGCATAATTGTCCAGGAGGCAATGAACACAGATTTTCATTAGCTCATTTAGCCGTCATTAGGAGGGATGACATCGGCTCCACGTGTATTTGTCAGAGCCAAATAAAGTTTTATGAAAATGAAAATGTAAAAAAAGTACCTAACTTTGAAATCACAAAAACAAACTTTGTAAAAGCATGCAACTAGTTCTACAATATCTGATTATCATTAGTTTTCACATGCAAGTACAGTATTTTTGGCCTCAGTCACATCTTTATATCTTTCAACCAAAGATGTTTTCTAATATGATGAAGACAGCATGTTTGTGATCTATATTTGTTCAAATGTTTCTTAAGCAAGACTATTCCTGTTGGAACAAACAAAATGTATTCATGAAGGAAGAAAACAAGTTAGGTAAAACAGATTTGAAGCAAATTCCAGGTCAAAAGGCAGAACAAAAATGCATGCATGTCAAAACGAGTGATAGAACCAAACGGGAGGGAGAGTGGAAAACATCACTGGAAGATAGTCCATTATTCTTATTCGTCAGTGGTGTAATTCTATAGCTGCATGTGCATAGATTTGTTTTCTCCAATATATTTTCCACACACGCAGGCCTAGGATAAATATAACTCTTAATGCGGCCGAGCCTCACCCAACACGTCCCCCTGCTAAATTGAGCTAAAGATTGCTGCTCCACTCTCTGCCTGGATTCACCAACATCACAATCAGAGACTATAATGCACCTATGTTAAAACCACATACATTAAGATTTTTTCAATCATCACAGACTCAATATATTTCATCTTCTGGTGAGTGATGTATTACACTCAGTGATGGGCAAGCTACTTGATTTGTGTAGTGAGCTAAGCTACAAGCTACTCAGCTTCACTACACAGAAGCTACCACCCATACAAATGTAGCAAGCTAAGTTACAAAATTCTGTCAAAAGTAGCTTGCTATATAGAAGCTATTTTCAATTAAACAAACTGCAGTTCATGCAATTTTATATTTTCCTGCATTAACATGTGCTCATTTCTTACTTTTTGCACAATTCTTGAGTGTTTTATCCATGCCAAATGTGACATGTAAATTTCTCCTGTGTGAGATTAATAAAGCTTATCTTCTTATTTGAGATAAACTGTCAGTCAGATAAAGGTTAAAATTGTGTAGATATTTATTGAACAATAGCCCAAAACACCAAAAACAACAAAGAGTAGGCATCTGAAAACATATTTCTTTTCGTTCATCTCGACTGGAGTGACGTACTTTTGGAGGTATGGCCACGGTACAACACTTTGAGAGTCCTTATCATGGTCCTCCTCCACCGCGGCGGCTCCTGGGCTCTCTGCCATGCTTTTGCTGTGTGCGTGTGTGTGTCGTTACCAAGCCCTGCGCATGCGCATCAGCATTCTGTCTTTCTATATGTTTTTTTATGCTGCGGGAAAATGCTGTAATATATGAACATCAAAGATGTCCGTGAGAAAATAGCTTTGGCGGACGCTACCGCGCTACTTGAGCAATAATATAGCTTAGCTACAGAAAAGTTACTAGGTTTTGTAAATAGTGACGCTACTGTCAAGCTACTGAAAAATGTAGTTAAGCTAGTAGCGACGCTACTGCCCATCACTGATTACACTGTCCTGGCACTCTTAACAGTTCAATTAGGTTTTCTGCACTGGCTGATACAAACTTCACCAAACACAGCCATCCATCTCCAGGACAGTGACCGGAGGGGAGTCCCAGGGGCGCATCACCCTCTCCTCAAACCACCACCCAGGGCTCGGAGCTGCAGCTCGAGTATAGGACCATTCATCCCTATCGCAACGAATGAGCTACTGACCTTCACACAAGGGACAGAGGTGACGCCCACAGTTCCACACAGAATTGCTGAAATGCACAGTGTGATGGTTTAGTCCTGGTTTAGACCTGGTCTTGCCTCGGTTTTAGTAGAAAAAATATCAGGAATCATGTTTTGCAATTAAACCTTCATGTGTCATAATATTGTAAGTTGCAAATATATGGTTAAACTAATGACAAAGGTAAATAATGTCATCGACCCTGCTCTATGATACCACCATGTGCTTGCAAAAATTTTAATTCCACAAAACTTACAATTTATAGGATTGCTCCAAGTCTGTTTGTGATAATAGAACAATGTTATAATATGATTAAAAAGACTTTAAAGGGGACATTAAGCGAGGCTATATATATGATGATATATGACACCTTTTTCAAATGGGTGTGTTCACAGTAAAGTGTAAATTATAGTATCGGAAGTTTCTGTCAATGTAACAAAATTCGTGGCTCATTCCATCAACTTCTAGTATTTAAAACCGGGGTCCGCAACGCGCGGCTCTGGAGCCGCATTCGGTTCTTTAGTGCTCCTCGAGTGGCTCCTGGAGTCTCTTCAAAAATATCTGAAAATGGGGTGGGAGGGGTATATTTTATTTCTAGTTTTTTAGGAAGAAAAGCATTCTCAACGTTCTCCAATGCTGTAAAAATGTGCATGCCGGTTCTTCCTATGTCTGCGTAAAGTACCTCTGGGTGCTAGGCCAAAAACACGTACAATCAGTAAAAGTCCTGACCAATCCAAGCATCAACAGTCTGCACTATAGTGACCACTGCTGGCATTGGAAGGATGGGACAAATGCGGAGATAAAATGTCCCTACACGGACAATAAAGTGTAATAGATTGTTATGATTGATATTCTTAAAAGCTACAATAAAAATAAAGTAACTTAAGCAAGGTCAAAAGCTGTGAAAAAGACGTTTTTGAATGCTGTATCCCCCGGTGAAGCCTGGGTCAAAAACTTGGTCCTGGTTAGTTAAGCCTTGGTGTTTAGTGCTTTTTAGTCCAGGTCGAGTCCGCCCTATTGTAAGTAAACACATTCGACGTAACCAAGTCTGGACCAATGAGAGTCCAATTTAGTGTCACACCTGGAGACACAGAGAGAGGGAAAAATTGACTTTTGATCAGCATTTTTTTCTGGACACAAAAGCGAGTTAACCATGAGGAAAGCTGCTGAGGCAACCTTTATTTTGTTCCACTAAAGTTGGCGTCGGAGCAGAGTGGACTACATATTCCTTTGGCTAATGTAGTGCGAAGGGCAATCTGTACAATCCCAAACAGTTTATGTACACGCGGGTTAAAATGGCTGAAAAGCAAAATGCTGATGTAATGAGCTGTGCACTGCCACTCTGCTACTCATGGTATCAATCTCTGTCTGGTGAATTAGCAGAGCTGCTGGGCCTTTGAGACACAATTAAGTCCAATAAACAAGTCCTGACAACCGATAAGCCCCACTAACCAACATTACAATTGTTTTCGCACGATTTTACATGTATTTTATAACCGATACTAAAGGAATTCAAGATTTATACTGAGGTTCCCATCCTCTGTCCTCCCTCGTTCTGCATTTCCTTGGAAATGTTTGATTCTCTGATCTGTTGTTGGTGAATCAACAACTTTCTAAAGTCCTCCGAGACAGCTGCTGTTATGATTTAGGCTTGTGATCTAAGATTTGAGAAACACAATAGCCTACATTCTTTCCTTAAATCACAAATGTATGGGTATGGTGGTCTAGTGTTTTGATTAAAAGTGCCAACATGTAATCAGTTTTGAGCTTTTAACCATGTTGCAACATGATAGATCTGCTCCCTTCTACATCAGACCTTAGATTGTTTATGAGTTAGTATCAGGATTAGGGTGTGGCTAACCACACCCATAGGATATAAATCTCCAACGCGCGGTCTGAGAATTCATTCCCTGAAGAAGTCCGCTGGTTTGAGGACGAAACGTCGGGAAATACAGATGATGGGTGAGAAACCTTCCTTTGCTATGTTGCAACATTGTTCTCTCTGGAACTTTTGGCACGTGTAACTCAGGCCCTTTTCGGAAATCATACGGTGTCATCGCACCAGTATGTCCCAGTATTGGTTTTGGCAATGTCTAAGGGGAAATTAGGTTTTTTACAAATGACATGTATGTATTTGTGGTAATTTTTAAATTTGAGGGAAAAAAAAGAGTTAAGGGGAAACCATATTTTTTTCTGCCTCACATTAAGGGTGTATTCAGACCTGAAAAGTCCTTTGCTCCGCTTGCTTGATCTGAATCAAAAGCAGACCAAACTTTTTTCTTTTGCTCCGGTTCGTATTCAGACTGTCCTTTTTGCAAGTGAACTTTTTTTATATAAACATATTGACACGTGTGACGATCGGCGCTCCTATTGGACAACGAGAGCTCACGGAGGATAGACGCGGAGCCGGAGGAAAACACCGGATGTATTCAGACCTGATTCAACTTGGACCAGAATTCGTTTGGAAGTGGACCGAGACCACCTAAAAAAGTGGGTCTCGGTTCGGTTCTTTGGTCCGGACCAGGATTCATTTGTGTGTATTCAGACCTGCATAAAAGCTTCGGATCAGAGTTCCAAACGAATCCTGGTCCGTTTAAAGTGGAGCAAATGTGCAGGTCTGAATACACCCTAAGATATTTTACATTCTAAAACACAAAATGACAAAGTAACTTTTCTATCATTTTAATGGTCAAAATAATGCTAACTATTTCTTCTTTAAAAGGAAAACCCAATGTGAGGAAAGCTTTAAGAACACCCATGAACACACTCGGACACAGCTGGTCTACATACAAGAAACTCGCGCCTCTCAATGCTCCATTCCTCGGCAGGTGCAGCCGTTTATCTAGTGACGTTTAAAAAGGTTTAAAAACTTCTTGCTTAGCCTCTAATTGTTCCAGGTGTTCTAAGCAGAATCCATTACCCGCAATGCAATTTTGTGCGCCCCGGTTTGCTGGAAATTCTAATGAAGATCCATAGACATGAGACAATGAGAGCTCCACACAAGAAAAATAATTATCTGCAAAAACTGGCAGTGATCTATGGCAATGTGGAAACTCAAAACGTAGCTTTTTACAGTGCGTAGAATGAGTCGTACTCATTATAGAAATTGTGTTCTTCTAAAAGAGGATTGTCAAATAGGCGTTTTGAATGAAAGTGATTTAGAAATGGGGAAAAAATATCGCAACACAACTTAACAATAGTGCTAGAAAACACTCCATTGACCTATTCCACTCAATAGTGAGTAGACTAGTTTTTTTATATTTTGGTTGGAAAAAGGATGGTATTTATATATTGCCCATGTTGATGCAAAGTGAGGTGTTGAAAAAATTAAATTAAATCATAATGGAGCTTAAAAAGACATCTTAGTTTAATAATGTGTTTGAGCATAAACAACCAAAAGATTGAAGATCAAGCCATTTCAACTCCAACTACTAAAACATTAAACAGCCAATAAACCGAGGACTAAGACAAAACATGTCCCTCCACAACTACACCATATCGAAGCCATATGTTCAGACTGCAGGGTGACCACCTCCAAGTTTGGTACAAGAAGAATGTGGAAATGGACATCATTCCACCAAAAGAAGTGTTAAAGTTATTAATAAAATCCTGTCATAACGACTTAGAAGAAAATGTCACAGAATGAAATGAAAAACATCTGGTGGTACTAACCTAAATGAGGGTAGAGACAAGTGGCCCCCTGTAATCAGTCCCCACGTCCCCGTTTGCGTGCAAGTGTCTGTCCTGACCTGCACACTTGGTCCGGGCCCTCAGCGGTGGCCCTGGGGCCCCTGTGCCTCCGTCCAGGGGCCGGGTGAGCAGCACACTGATCTCGTACTCTGTATCGGGGTCCAGGTGCCCGATCTTGTGTGTGGTCTTGTCCACGGGCTGCAGGTCGTACATGGTCCCCGACACCGTCCTGTACTCCACCTCACGGTCAATGATGGGGCCGTCTCCGTTGATGGAGTTGGCGTTGAGCTGGATCCAGAGGTACGTGGCCCCCACCGCCGTGAGCTGGGGGGGGGCGATGGGCACCGGGGGCTCTGAAGACAGACAAGAGAGGAAAGTCAAAAGTGTACAGTACTTCTGAATCAAACTGGGTCCGTAGTGATTTGGTTTTGTAGTGAAATAATCGGCTGATGTGAGAATATGTTTTATAATGATGTATAGCATGTCATGGTAAATCTTTCCTATACTTGGATTGATTTTTTTATTTTTTTTATTTTATTGTATTTATTTCGAGCAAGTAAGTGGACATAGAAATAATTAGTTCAAATTAATCACAAGCAACGTAGGTACATTTACAAAATATAACAAAAAGGGTAATGACAAAGAGAGTAAATCATACAAACATTACACTTATGGATGCTTGAAAAGGAGTGGGAAGAAATAAACACTTATTTAATCCCACCCCTAATTACTTCAGTCATTACAAAGGTAAAGTAAAGGCTTCCTATTGGCTCCAACGTAAATTCAGCACAGATTGCAATATCTTAAACATCTTGATCATAAGCAAAATAAGTTTTGAGAATGTCAACAAAGGACAAATGTAAGCCCTACGAGGGCAGACAACTGCATGCAAAAAATAACAAAAAGTAACAAGAACGAGTACATGCCAACATGAGTTCAGGGAAAAGCTACATAGAAATACATTCAAGTCATAATCTCTCTGTATTCAGACCAGACCTAGTTTTTAAATAATGACCTAAAAGTGAATATCTTGGCATTGCATTAATTGAGGATCCAAAGCATGCCACAGTTTCACACCACATACAGTCACACAGAAACTTTTACGAGTTGATTGAAATTTGGGAAGTTTAAAAATTCCAAGACCTCTTAGATTAAAGTTATTTCTTTAAGCACAAAATATTTTTGTATGTTATAAGGTAACATTTTGTGAAATGCTTTGAATAGCATGATGGCTGTGTAGAATTTTACGAAGTCTGGGAAATTTTTAATTTTTGATTGAAGAAAAAGGTTGTGAGTGTGATGCAAGTAGTTTGTTTTAGGAATGACCTGCAAGGGTCTCTGGGTTTCTGCAATAACAAAATGGGTATTGTTGAACATTGGTAGTTGTTACCCCACACTTCAACACAGTATGTTAGGTAGGGTAATACCAACGAACAAAATAATTCTAATGAGTCATCAATAACGCTAATGAGTACAAGTACACACAGGGCTCAAAAACCCCACTAAAGACCTTGTTACATACGCGTCCTCTGCAAAAACATTTAAATAAATATAGCAAGAAAACTACAAATGTAAATTTAATTTCAAGGATTGTATGGATAAGTAATTTTCACCTCTGCCAAATTCCAAAACGGAAGACCAAGTGCCATTTGTGACTAGATGTAATGTCTTTCACATTTTAATAATTCCATTGTAAAATTTTAGCAAACATGGCCTTTATTTCTTCTTGCCTTTTTTTCATTTCTGGAGAGGATTGCACACTTGCGATGCTATAACCTTTTGTGTTATGTCATTATGTCACCGTCTGTGTAATCTTTCCCATAGCCGCGTGCATGTTTAATGACAATCTGTAAATGTCATAGTTTTTCTGGTGAGCGTTATTTTGAGCAGCTCTTCATTCTACAAACTGGAAGGCGAACGTTTGAGAGGGACATTACGTGAGGAAAGGAAGCACACCAACACCAACCAACACATCAGACTCACACTAGGCAATGTGGGTAATGTGTCTTGCATTATTTTACAAGTACCATGCATATAAAAGAAATTGTACTCATAAAGCACTCACAGCATTCATTCACTCTAAACTCTATGGTGGTAGACTGCTACTGTAGCCACAGCTGCCCTGAACTACACTAACTGAAGCAAGGATAGCAATCTGTGAAATCAGCCTCCCTGATCACCACCAACCAGGTGTCTTGCCTAAGAAAACAGCAACAGTTTGGCACTTCACAGCCGCCCAACTGGTGATGGGAGAACTGTTTACTTATATAGCGCATCTTTACAGACCAAGGTCACCCAAAGCGCTTTACAATGTTCCAAGTTCAGATATTGTCTCTCCGCACACGGTGATGACGGAAGCGAGACGCCGAACACACTGACGCATCAAAGACTCCAACCAACACCATCCATCCACTCTCTCATTTACATTCATACCTATTGTGCATGTTTTTAGTGGTAGGGGAAACCGGAGCATCCGGAGGAAACTTACGCAGAGACGGGGATAACATGCAAACTCCACTCAGAAAGGCCCTGTTCCGACTGAGATTCGATTGCACACTTTCTCTGAGAAGCGAGAGTGCAATCCCCCCCGCCACCCAAGTGATGGGAGTCTCATCACAGTGCTAACCAGACCCTGCACTGCTTAGCTTCTGAGATCTGACGGGACCAAGCTTTCACATGCACACTGCAGTTTCTTATTATCATTAATATTAGCTCATTAATATAACTAGAACATTGTAACGGGGCCGGGGAATTTCAGGGAATGGACTAAAATTCAGGTTACTATTTTTTTCACTCCAGCGTGTCTTAGCAACCATCTTAGCAACGCCGTTTTGGCGCAAACCTAACGCCGTCAGAACAAATGCCCATATAAGGAAACTGGCTCCAGCTAGCTTATGTTCCGAATTCAGCTAACATAATGGTGACATCAGCACTCTGTCAATCCATTCCCAATGTATGGTCTATGATACTTTTCTGGCTAACCATGTACTCATTACAGGTTATTATTTTTCACTTCTCCTTGTCATCGAACCTCGTCTCCTCCAGACGTGTTTGAACCGGGCATGATCCCACTTTCAGTTCTAAAACGAGTAAAAGGCCTGTGTCCATCCAATCAACACCAAAAATATGTACAGAGCAGGGGAGGTGTGGAACTCGTCTAACAACTTCAGGTTGCCTTAGTAACCATGTTAGCAAAACCGTTAACCGTTAGTTTGCACTGGCTTCCTCTGTGGCGAGTTGATCTTGTTTTGCTATGTGAAAAATTATCAAAATATATCAAAACATTTTTAAGCAAGTCACATCAAGTCAGAAATACTGCTCATGATTATTGATAGCAAGAAAAATGTAGGATAATCTAAATTCCATTTTCCTTTTAGGAAACTAAAGGGAAAGGATTTGGTTTCACAATTTTAACCAATACCCCATCAGTGCAGATTAAAGCCAGAGTCTAGGAGCATTTCTCCAGACTTGTGATTCTTCCCAATTCATCATTCAAGCAGAGGCAGGGTGTCCACGAGCAGGTTAGTCACACAGCAAAAAGCTTTTAAACATCTGTGAGTGCCAAAAGCAAATAGCCATCCTGAGAAGTACTGCTTCAAGACGCCATTATGTTGTTAGAGACGCTTCTGTGTCGATAACCGTGCGCTTGTGTGTGCAACAAGAGAAACGGCTGCACTCAGAGCTTTGACTGCCATCGCTCGGCTGTCAACTTCCATGACGCCTAAAAGCTATAGAAATCTGCCCTAAAAAGTTGCTGTGAGTAGCTAATGGTTTGATTAATAGAATTTTGTTTCACCATTTTGGTTTTTCTTTTACCATCACTACTTAAAAGTTGAGGTGACTTTCAAATCCTCGTTTCCAAAACATGTTCTACCACTAGTTTTTAGTGCAAAATAAATTACTAGCCCCCACTACTCACCCCAAAGAATCAAAAAGTGACTCAGAAGGTTTTTCGACATACAAAAGTATTCAAAAGATCTTATGTTTTCTAATAAGATGAAGACAGCATATTGTTGTCTTTTACAATATTTTTTGTTTTCTGTTGGGACAAACAACATGAAATGTTTATTGGAAATTGAATTTGGTATCACAGCTTTATCTGCAAAAAAATCAAAAAGGACATAACATGAAACATTCATTCAGAATGAAAAGGGAAAACACCAGTATTTTATATACCTATATCACAATATCAGTTGTCTAGGTGCACTTTACAAAGTTGTCGATGCATCAACAACAAATGCGAGAACACAGGAATGCAATACAATACAATACAATTTATTCTTGTATAGCCCTAGGTCACAACAGAAGTCATCTCAGAGGACTTAACAAAACCATTGAAATCACCAACACAGGTCAGAGAATCAACAGTTAAAACACATGAAAAATATAAAGCACACACAGAAGAAAATGTCCATACATGTTGTAGAATGTTAAAGTGTCCTGGAACACAGGAAATACAATATCAATTGTTCCATATAGGGAGCGAGAGGCCCAATGTCAATACATTTTAATACATTTATTTTTTTAACCTGCTTGAATTGTAATCCACCCAAATATGCATCTGTCAGATTGTCATTATTTTCATAGTTAAGTTGCCCCCACTTCCAAAAGTCCACTAAAATGACTGTAAACAGCATCAAGAGGAAGAGGAAGGTGGAAGTGGCCAAGTCCATCTATGCACAGTGGTGCATGTTTCAATCACATATTGGCCCGTGTATTTCTGTCTAGAGTTTGCATGTTTCCCCCTGTGTCTGGGTGAGTTTCCTGGAATTTCACTACAAAACATGCAACGGTATGAATGTGGTAAGAGAGTGAATGACGGTGGTGATTGGGGGCTTCTGTGACTACCAAACATGGAGTGGATGTATAGTGACTTCAGTGATCATTTCATTTTACTCCCCGCGTGAAATTGTTTCATTCATTCTTACCTCTGTTTACATACCGCCATGCGCGGACGCGCACGAGGCTCAGCGCGCACTCGCAGAGCAAGTACTGTGTATGGAACGTTTATACCCGGACTCTCTGATTATTATCCTGGGGGATTTTAATAAGGGAAACTTGAGCCAGGAATTACCCAAATACAGACAGTTTATCAAATGCCCGACCAGAGAGGAGAACACTCTGGATCACTGTTACACCACCGTGCACGGAGCTTTTCGCGCTGTTCCCAAGCCAGCCCTCGGCTTCTCAGATCACTCCATGATACACCTGGTTCCTGCTTACAGACAGAGACTAAAGCTCTCGAAACCTGCAGTGAGGAGCTCCAAAGTGTGGTCTGATGAAGCTGTGGAAGAGCTGCGCGCATGCATGGAATCTACAGACTGGGACCTTTTCAGAGCTGCCTCAGATAGTTTGGATGAATACACGGACACTGTGACGTCATACATCCACTTCTGCGAGGATAGCATCATTCCAACAAGGACCAGGATCATCTATAACAACGACAAACCCTGGTTCACTGCTAAACTCCGGCAGCTCAGGAAAGCAAAGGAGTCTGCTTTCAGGGAGGGGGACCGCAGCGGCTACAAAGCAGCTAAGGCTGAGTGTACACGGTGAAGAAGATGGCATAGTCTGGGATCGCGTCTTAAATTCAGACAGAAGACATGTTTTATTGTCGATGGTAGAGACAGCACGAACAAAGCACACGAGCACAGATACAAGAGAATGCAAGTGTATTATACAGAGCGGAGACATGGAGACCTCCAATCAGCAGCTTCCACGGTGCCATGTAGCTTGGCCTTCAGATAGACAAAACAAGGGAAAAGTACTGGCTTCTGCACATTGATAGAATACCTTGAAATGTTTTGGGCAGCTAGAGTGCCACCTCGCCATTACACTAGAGCCCCCTAGCGTCAACTGACCGTCACTCACTTTTTAATATCCTAATTATTGTATTCAAAACAAAACGCCAGAAGTTGAAATTGTCATGACTTTTACTGGGTACTTGTTGTTTATATTTTGTGTGTTTTGGTTTTGTGAAAAAGTAAAGAAAACAAGTTTACACGCATTTTAGCTTTCTAAACCACAGCCTTTCGCTGCCCCAAGGGATACATGGCCAGGCGACTGGTGTCATAGTAAACCTGTCCCGGTTTTTTCGCCCTTATTAAAATTTCTCCAATATGTTGTCATTAGACTCTAACGAGACTGAGTTTTTTTTTTTTTTTATTTGAGAGAGAGAATGGTTTTGAATTGAAGAGTACAAAATGAATAAGCTGAAAGTACACGTAAAGCCCTGACAGTGCTCAAACATTGAATGAGATACATCTGACGAGGTGAATGTCACATTTTGAGGGAAAGTGACAGCGGAGAGAGCAACCTATAATAGTCTAAATCTGAACGTAAACCCATAGCATGCACGCACGGCACTGGATAACACATTGTGCTTTGTATAGAAACCACGATTTTTTTTCTCGGATGATGCGGCCCTCCGACTGCCGCACAATGTGCTGTCAGAGGAGCAGGATCAGGAGGGGTGAGCCGGAAAAGACAATGAGGAGTGAGGAGGAAGGAGAAGATGGATAGTAAGGGAGCGGTGGGAGCG